AGCATCGGCCTATATAGAGACGACGGTTTGGCCCTTATAAAAAGTAAATCGGCACGTTTAGCAGACAAAAAAAGGAAAGAACTCCACAAAATTTTCGAGCTGTTTGACCTAAAAATCACCGCCGAATCAAATTTACGCATAGTAAACTTTTTAGATGTAACTTTCAATCTTAACAACGGAAAATATAGGCCCTATAGAAAGCCCAATGACGATCCGCTATACATAAATAGGTACTCTAACCATCCACCTAGCATTATAAGGCAGCTTCCTACATCAGTTAACAAGCGCATTGCAATGCTTTCATCAGATGAGCAAACATTTATGGAATCTGCACCTGCATACCAAAACGCACTTGACCACAGCAACTTTAATCATGATCTCAACTACACTCAACACGCACCACAACAAGCACGCAGAAATAGGCAACGTAATATCATTTGGTTCAACCCACCATTTAGCATGAATGTCAGCACTAATATAGGGCGTAATTTTCTTAACCTTATCGACAAGCACTTTCCTTCGCACCACAAGCTGCATAAGATCTTTAACAGAAATACAGTAAAAGTAAGTTATAGCTGCATGAGCAACGTTAAGTCTATAATCACTAAGCACAATGCACATATAGCTAGGAAGAACAAGGCACAGGGCAAGGGCACTGTCAATTGCAGTTGTTCGAAAAACGCAACATGCCCACTTCAGAAACAATGCATGACTAAGGACATAGTATACAAAGCAACAGTCACAACAAGCAACCCTAACACGATCATGAATTATATTGGCATGACATCAACTACATTTAAAGAGCGTTTGGCTAACCATAACTATACTTTCGAGCATAAAAAGCACTCAAACAAAACTGAACTTTCGAAATATATTTGGACATTGAAAGATAGCAAGAAAGATTTTAATATCAATTGGCAAATTTTGAAACGCGCTATTTCGTATACGGGAGGATCAAAACGATGTAATTTATGTTTAGAGGAAAAATTTTGTATTTTGAAAGAAAACCAAAACCGTTTACTCAATAAAAGAATGGAAATTATATCTACGTGCAGACATAGGAAGAAATTTCGCGTAAACACACTCTAAAAAAAGGTGTGTTAATTTAACACACCTTTTTGTCCAAATTTTAACACACCTTAAGGTGGGTTTTAAAACACACCTTAAGGTGTGTTTAACACAGCTTTTGGCGTGTTTTGTAACACAGCTTAAGGTGTGTTTAACACACCTTAAGGTGTGTTAAACACACCTTAAGGTGTGTTCTAAAACCCACCTTAAGGTGTGTTTTCGGCTTGTCCAGATTTTAACACACCTTAAGGTGTGTTTTGTATAAAGGTGTGTTTTTGAACACACCATGGCGTGTTTTCGTACACACCATGGCGTGGCGTGTTTTCATACACACCATGGCGTGTTTTAAAACACACCTAAAGCTGTGCTGTATAACACACCATTCAGGTCTGTAATGTTTACAGCACGTTGTAAGGTGTGTTTCATAACACACTAAGGTGTGTTACATAACACACCTACAAAAGATGCTATAATAACACAGCAAACCTAAGGAGGTGTATTAGAAAACACATCTACATATTCTTATTAAAAGTAAAATGACATTAGAGACATGCTCATTTGAGTTTATCCATGACAAAATATTTATTTGACACTGACTAAATTACATTTTACATAGTTGACTATGTACTTTTACTATGTACTTTTACTAAACCGAACTGTAACAGACAACTTCCCATTCTGATGCAGTGTTCTGGCAATTAGAGTAATGGACTACTATATTAATTGTCTCGTACTTTATAGCCATGCAATTGTCAAAATATTGCAAGCCCACATCTTCCACAATCAGAATACCTGTCATATGAAACACTGTAAATAACTTGCATCCAATCATTCCATCTTTGTATCATTTTCTTTATCGCTCGGTGAACCACAACCTTTGAATCACATTGCCAAGTTTAACCATATTTACAGGTAGTCGTATCAATCCAACATACAAGCCTGTGTCAAGATAAGTAAAAAATTAATATACAATGGGACTATCTAACAGCTTAAGTTTATATATAACATATGTAATTAAGTCATTTAACCCACTAGCACGCAGGACTCTCTTCTTGATGACTAAAATTGTCTGGCATTTGACAGAGTAAAATAACAAAGGCGGGTCCATTTGGGTGCATTTCGGCCTAATGGGTTATCAAGGCACATTGGCAGATAGTTTGGATAACCATTAGTGAGCAGGACACTGCTCTTGAGGAGTAAAATTGTCTGGCATTTCACAAAGTAAAATGTCTGGTGTTAGTTAAGTGCAACATAACAAAGTAGGGTGCACTTGGGCACATTGCTGCTCAAAGGTTAACAATAAAAGGGTGCATATATTAGCTAAGTATATTGAATATCAATATACAGTCATTTAACAAGTTAATTTGTTTGGCATTTCAAGACATAGGATGCAATGGACTGATACTGTATCTGGCCGGATATTAAGATTTTAATTCATTATCTGGTATCCGGCTACCCAATGCCGGATATTATTCATATAGGGTTCAGGCCTTCTTTTCAGGTTAGAAAATGATTTGATAAGGTTATCATATCATGATCATTGAAGTAAAAATATGATAAATATGATCAGTATTTTCAATGCTTGTTTGTACAGTAAATGGGGATTTGAACTTTTAACTGATGTAAACGAGGCTTTTGCTACCAATGATGCATGTTTGCTACCAATGATGCAGGTTTACTAGTTTTAGACTGTTTACTTTTTAACCAAATAAAATTATTACCAGTACTTAACCTTAAATGATGCCTGAACCTTATATAATTATTTGAATAATACCCTTAATCGGGCTGGATATTTTTCAGCCATCCAGCATATCCTGTATCTGGCTGGATAGCAGAAATACTCTGTCCTGCACACCCCTAGAAAGAACCGAAAGTAGGCAACATTTAAGAGGAAATTGTTTCTTCGGTGTTAATAGGTGAAATGAGTCCATGCAGTCGATAAGTAAAATTGTCTAGCATGAGACGTCACAGTTCAATATTAAAGTACTTAAAGTAGGGAGTGTTAGGGAAAATTGCATCTAAATATGTCAACATGAAACATGGGCAAAATCTAGCTACACACAAATTAACTTGTCCGGCATTAGGAAAGGTGACATAATTTAAGAAAGTGCTGAAAACTGGGTTAATTGGAGTGAATTGGGTTGTTACATATATTACTAAGCAGATCATGTGGGTGGTGTAGCTAGCTAAATGTATTCATGAGTTTGAACAAACAAACAAACTAAGGACTTTAACTGTTTCCAATTAGGGAGATGTCCATATTCAAGTTGCCACACAAAACATCAAATTGACATTTTTATCTAAGCCGATCTATCCATCCTTGAAAACTTCAAGCATGACATACAAAGAAACTTGGAATTTAACCCCCCACCCCATTCCATTGATGTCTTAGTACATCTTACTATTATCAGTCTCAGAAGATTCTACTCTTAGACTCCCTCCCCCTCTGGATGACTAAAATGTCCTTTGCATCTAAAAGGGTTAAATATGAAATGTGACCCTCTGATGTTAGACATAGTGAAATCATGAAGTACTGAAAGTAGTCTGGCTTTTATCTTAATAATGTGTTAACACAAAATGCGGGCAGACAATCTAGTTTCAATGAAAGGTTAAAACCTTTTAAGTCCAACACACTCCCATTGACAAACAAAATCACCATGCAGGGGTTGATTGTTCGAAAGCCGATAAGTTAACCTTAGATTAAGCAAACTTCCTAACAGTTTGTTTATAAATTTGGAAATATTTCTTTAGACATCTTGTCTGGATCAGTACCATAGGAGTTTTCTTTTCATAATTTTAAAACAAAAAGATACTGTATGTAGAAATACATAAATTTTAGCTACGGGTTAGGGTTAATCCGGCTATGCAGGCCTTAAAATATCGGTCGGTCATGGACATTGTCCGACCCATTAGTGAAATTGTCCGACGTAGAGAGGAAACCACCAGACATTCTGTCCGACCAAAGTGAAATTGAGGTTTATTGTTTGTCCGACCTGAGTGTATTTCTGCCCGACCGAACTGTAACTTTGACCAACGTAAATCAAAATGTACCCTATCCCAGGACTAGAGGCTCGTATGTTAAATGGAAAATCAGAGTACTATAGACCTTATTCATAAATCGTGATGAGGCCTCGTATCCTAGGAAACGGGGAAAACGCGGGGAAGCTCTGCAGCTTAATGGGTTAAATTAGGGTATGTAAGTGCTAATGGTAACTGAGACATGCACACACAGTCTGTTAATCCATCACAACATCACATCTTAATGGGTTCATGGAATACCGTAAATCTCGGACTATAAACCCTGGGCTATATATTTGGTGGGCTTATACAAAGGGGGGGGTTACAGTATATAGGAGGGATAGAGCTTATACATGGACATTCAATCTTTTGTGTTAGTATAATAAACAAGTCAGTCATAAACAGGAAAATAAACACATAGTAATAATGCACTTTGATTAATTAACGACGTTTTGTCGTTGACTTAAGCTATAAAGACAATGTTTTTAAATATTGTTCTCTGATATATTAACCCATTGAGCCACAATGCGCCCCAGTGCGCTCTACTTTTTTTTCACTTGTCTAACGCCAAACGATTTTACTCGTCAATGGGGAAACTCTGCAGCTTAATGGGTTGACCAAAAAATTTGACAATGTCTCTGGTAAACCCATCAAGCCGCAATGCGCCCCAGTGTGCCTTACTTATTTTTTTACTTGTCTTATGCCAGACAATTTTGCTTGTCAATGGGGAAGCTCCGCAGCTTAATCGGTTAAATAACATAGTGGGCTACTGGACTTATTATGAAACAAGTGGTTACATTTTCTCAAACCATGTTTAGCTGGGACATGTGTAGTTGAGCATATAATGACTGAGTAGATGCCAAGCTATATTTATACTTTATACCAGAAATATTGTTATCTGGTAGTCTGTCATATATTCATATACACAAATATTAGTTGCCCTTTATACAATAAACATAATTTAATATAAAGTCAAATGTAAGCCTTCTATAAAACTAATATATCATCTTTTTAATTCAAATATTGTCGCGGCAAATTCAAATTTTAAACATGAACACATGCTCAAAATTCATGAATGAAGATAGCGAATATTTACTTTCAAAACTGCTCCATTATACATATAACATAACAATATGCTTACCTGAATGTTATTCAGTCATGCCCGCTGTTTCCTCTTCGTTCAAATCATTCGTCGTTGCTTAAAAAAGCGAATTTTTCGAACCCATAAATTCAGAATGAAGGCTTGAAAAATTTGGCGTAATGGCGGTGTGAATAAATGACGCTATCCCGGGAAGCTTTGCGCGCGTAGTACAAAACTAGGCACCAGTCTGTAAAATCGCGCTCATCGTGAGAATTTTCGTTTCTTTCGATCCGAAGAGCTTCAAAAGGCCAGTTACCGGCTATATTTCAGATATTAATGGTGTGCTAAAGACAGATTAATCTCTTAGAAAATAAATAGTCCCAGAAATGCTCTTACTACATGCGAAAGAATAAAATACTACACAACAAATATCAAACGGTTATTAGACACGTAAAACTTGATATCGCCGGCAAAGTCGATATCGCGATTTACATCTACTGTATATATCCGAAAAACATATTATAGCATACATTACCGTGATTGATGACTGGATTTATTGTATGTTACTAAAAAGCATTTTTCAGTACACACCGTGCACGCGTGTTTTCCAAAATCGGCGTAGGGTGTGTTATCTAACACACCAAGATGTGTTTTGCAAATTAGTATGAGGTGTGTTCTCGAACACACCAAGGTGTGTTTTCATTCAAAAGGTGTGTTATTGAACACACCTTATATGCATCAAAGGTGTGTAAGAAAAGGTGTGTAAAATACAGGTGTGTTTCTTAGCACACCTAGGTGTGTTTTGTTACACACCATGGTGTGTTTTCTAACACATCATGGTGTGTTTTCTAACACACAAAGGTGTGTTTTCTAAAATTGTATAGGAAGGTGTGTAAAATGTACACACCTTGGTGTGTAATTAAACACACCTTGGTGTGTAATTAAACACACCTTGGTGTGTAATTGAACACACCTGTTTTTAGAGTGCAACGCAAACAATACACTCCCACAATTCGATTAGGCATTTCCGCGTAAACAACGCAAACAATAGATGAATGCATGCTTTGTTTCACTCACACACCCCCACGTTCCGGCCAAAACACATATAAGCAGCCCTATTTTTCGAAACTTGTCATACCGCCTGATGATTCTTTACTGATGAAACAGACTGTTGCGGAATTTTGAGGTAAGCGAAATTCTACATTTGCTCTATCTTTATGATATTGAGCACTCTTTGCGTTTCGTATACACAAACCTACTCGTATATATATATATATATATATATATATATAGTCATAGTCATATAATAACTAAAGTTTCATATTGCCGAAAAATCTTTGTCCTATACGTGACCGTCTATCTGGAAACATGTCCTACGTTTTTAAAGTTTGCGGTAAATCGCATGCAAATTTAAGTAACCGTCGCACGAAGAGTGACGGTAATCAACACAATGGACAAGAAGCTCGTCTCACCAGTGGATCCACAATCATGAAACATCCTTTCACATGCATTGTTGCTGGATGTACAGAGAGTGGAAAAACTGCATGGGTAAAAATTCTTCTTAGAAATGCTAAAACAACCATCAATCCACCTCCAAAACGTATTATTTGGCGCTGTGGACAATGTATTTTGGACTGAAATTATTAGTACTATTCCTGGCATTGAATTTTCTTAAAAAATATTCTTACAAATGAATATCTGTGTGTTGATGTATAAGTATTGCGAAGATTATAACTGGTTTGAACAAGGTCCCTTCTCGTTAGAGCATCCTTCAAGTTCGGCCCAGCGCAATCATTCAGGACTTTATACATTAATGTGGATTTAGTTGTACGTTGACATGTCTTATCTCTAAATTTTCCCAAGCAAGGGATCGAAGAACACAGCAGACCTTATTTCATAGCTGGCGCCAATTATAATTCTCGCTGCACGGTTTTGGAACTTTTGAAGCTTATCTTTCAGCTGTTGGTTACAGACGTCCCATAATGGACTACAATAATCAAAATACGGTTCTATCAAAGCTCTGTAAATGGTATGCAGGGTATTTATAGGAACATATGGCTTAATTATGGCTACATATGCATGTTTAATTAAACGGATGACAAGTAACCACCTCCAAGTTACCACCTTAGACGGCAACCTTGCCGTATTTATACATTGCTTATTGTTGACTTACTATATTGTCGATCGTTCCTGCATAGCCAATCAAGATATGGTCTGGAAAGACTTTTATTCATGTTTTTATGCACGGTGAAGACAATTTTCGATCAATGCAATTAGAATCATCCAATGGCATTATCTCTGCAATCACTCAACCATATTATACTGTTGAAATAATTAATAAGCAAAATTTCAATAGATTTGTATGTGCACGGTGAAGTCATGTCAACATTAAATCGTAGCTCATATACAATGTCTCAATTGACTATGATTATTCTTTCTTTCCAGTATAACATCCGATATGCGTATCGATTGTTGTCGATGAGAGCAATGTGGATCATGACTTATTTTGACAAGCCGATAGCCGATTTACATACATTATTTCAAGGTTTTTCAAATTTTGCTTTAGGCAAAGACCTAAACTGGAAAATCAACAGCACAGCTGAAAATACAGCTGAAAAGAGCACATCATATAGGGATAATATCCATAAGATTAGGCCCTGCAAAATTTGCGCATTTTATATTAGTAGTTTTTTGTATGGCGGGAGCGAATTATTTGGCTAGAACAGGCCGGTACAATCAGATTCAAGAGCTTCAAAACCAAGCAAGTTATTTACCGTTTTCAAATTATGTTTAATACAAAATCAACATTTCATTTCGTTTTATATCGGTTTTCACTATATCTTAGTCAAACCTCTGCACTTGCCTCCTTTGACTTTTTATGCCACCATTCAATTTATGAAACTGATAATCAATTTTTATTAGGCTCCTCGGTTATAAAACTTAATCTGGTGAGACATGATATCATTAGTCCTAGGGAAAAGCAACGGTCCTGTGTACTCCAATCTAGAAGACCTTCATTATTATTTTATAAATGAGAATGTTGTACATTCGTGTCAATTTGTACTTTTCAGTTCTTTCTACAGAGTCTTGAGAAAAATTGACGATATGCAATTCTGTATTCTTTGTTTCTTGAACTGTAAATGAAAGGATTCATTGCAGAATTTGCTCCAACCAACATCCCAACAAACCATGAAACACTGGACGGGACACACGATCTTTTACAAATATTTTTGCTTATAGTTGCTGTTATCAACGATGGAAGCGTACAACACAGCAGTACACCAAGGACGATAGCAAATGTTTTCACCATTTTTAGTTGTTTTAGGCGTTTTTTTATCTCAGTATTTTCAGATGTTCCAGTTGTATATTGATTTGCATAACTAGTTGCGCAACTTTCGTCACTTATTTTCGTTCTCTGTTTTTTTGCTACTTTATAAATTTTATAGTTGAAGTAAAATATGCAAAGCACTGGTATGTACAAGTTGATAAAAGCAAAAATATATCTTGCAGGATTTCTTACTTGACAGCTAACACTCCATCCTATTATTTCTTCTGTACTAAAGAAGATAAGAGTTGTATTCACCATTGTTAAAAGCCAAATCATCAATAACAAAATGTATGTTCTTTTCCAAGTCATTATGTTGGTGTATTTCAAAGGTTTTGAGATGAAAACGAATTTATCTATGGTTATTGCTAGAAGATTTGCAATAGATAATGCAATACTTGTCAATGAGCTGGTCATACCAATTTTACAAATGAATACGCGATCTCGTTCTGTATCTATCAGTGTTGAGATTATCTGAACTAACCACGGAGGAAAGAATGTAAGACAAACAATGATATCAGAAATTGCTAAATTCACCATGAAATATGTTGTTGGAGTTTTCGAGTGATTTATGAAGATGTTATAAGCAATTACTCCAACATTTCCGATGATTCCAACGATGATGCACAGACAGACGAATAAAATTATTCCAATGAAAATTCCTGATGAAAAAATTAGGAATTCAGCAGTTGTGTTTTCTCCACTCATCTTTTGTGAAATATTGATTATAAAAATATTTGCTCCTTTGATTTCCTAAATAATCCCCTCACTCAGTCTCCCTTAATTGATAGTTTGTTCATGAGTTAGCGAAACCATGTTTGCTTCAGTTATATGACTCCTTTCTAATGAGTAAAAGGTCTGCTCTTAAATATTTTCTTGATTTCTTCCATAGATAGACAAGTTACATTTGCCCAGCTCTAATATTGAACGCTGCAAATTTGTCATCAATATTAAACAAGCAGTCGAGTGTTTGGACGGAAAACTTTTAATTGGCTTACTGTGTTATACGCTTAATTGATTGGCATTGTAATTGGAACTTTGCAAGAATTTTTTGTTCAAAGAAAGTAATTTGACTTCGACGAGGAAATTTTAAGCTTCCCACGAGGAAATAATTGGGAACAGATGTTTCTAATTTAATAATTTCAAAAATGGAGGCAGCTGACTCTTTTGTATGATGTAAGAGGCAATATTGTCTTTAAAGCTATAACTGAACCATTTTGCAACTAGGTGATTTCTTTATCCAATAGAAAATTTGACACGAGCCACTACAGTCTAAACCTTAAAATAAAAACTGAACACTTAAAAGCAATAGCGAGTGGACGCCATAATTATTCTATTAATGAAATGAAATTAACGATCAAAAGCTTTCCATCTTTTAATATTTATGTTTTATATATATATATATATATATAGAGAGAGAGAGAGAGAGAGTTAAGAGAGACTTCTTAGTTTAAAAAAAATATATATATATATATATATATATATATATATATATATATATATATATATTATATATATATACAGCTAATTCAATAAAGGTTGTCCTTTGCAAACCTCAAACTCTAAACCTTAAACCTTAAACTCTAAGCGCGCAAAGCATAATGGGAGTACTGATTTCAAGCTTTGTAGTGGAATATTGCAGCTGTTTGTGAGTGAAATGTTTTCGCAGGCAAATATTCACCATGTCTCTAAGAAATGTGCTCCATGTATGCTTTCTAAACTGCTTAAATAGTGCACCCATTACGCTTTGCGCGCTTAGAGTTTAAGGTTTAAGGTTTTAGAGTTTAAGGTTTGCAAAGGACAACCTTTATTGAATTAGCTGTATATATATATATATATATATATATATAATTCTTCAATTGGTTAAAATGACCAATTTAAATTGGTGCTATAACAGTACAGCTGCAAGAAAGGGAAACCCATGCACATTAACTATATATATGAAAAGCTTACTAAATTCGAATCCGGTCCAGTTCACAGACAGAAATTCCTTCTTATTGCAAACAAGACGCCTGCTCAGGCGTTCACACTGGCCTGAAAATAACGAGATACGTGCTATGGTGCAAAAGGCAGGAATACAAATCTTAAACCGCAAGCAAATTTTATGGACTTTTTAAAAAAATAAAAGACAAGACCTTTTCGGGAGACGTAATGGAGATCGATGCGAAAGAAACCCCAGTAAGTAGAATAGAATACAATACCAAACATAAACTACTTATCTGTCTTTGCTATGGGTAGCCTGCTCGCATACATATTAAATTTCGATATTTCAGTCTGCATGGCCATGGGCGTA